TGAGAAGAGCATGGACTGTCGATCTGCTCTCCACCTCAACACCTTTTCCTCAATATATACGTGGCAGGTCAGCAAAAAGAAGGATGTGTTAGTCTGTATCAGTGAAATTACTAAGGGCTTGGGGATCTATCTGCCTAATCAGACCAGGAATTTGGGGCGTGAAATGTTAACTGGGTATGGTGGCATGAGGACCAGGCAAATTCCTTCTGCAGGTGCACCTGTTTCCCTTGTATCCCTGTTCCCCCAACACAACCAGCACCCAGCTACACGGAAGTGCCCTCAGGCCCTGGGATTAGCGTTGCTATGAGAACAGCAACTTGTGCTTGGGTTTGGAGCCAGAGAGTACCTCCAGCACAGAAGAGAGGATTTGGGACCTGGCTAGATTTCTACAACCTCCAGCCTCACCTGCACCCTTTTCCGTAATCTCGGAGGGGAAGAGAAGGCATAGGGTTCTCCAGTTGATCCCCACCCCCATCTGACCCTCCAGGCATTAGCAGTCCCTCCCTCCCTCCCCTGAAGGAAAGGCTGAGTGAGAGGACCACTTAGGTGCTCCTGTCCAACTCACCCCGTCCCTGCAGGCCTGCTCGTTCAGCGCTCGCACCCAAGCCCGTTGCCAGTTCTCTCGGAAAGACTTGAAGGCGAAGAGCGACGCGAGGAGGCCCCGGACGCCTGGCTCCTCGGGGGCGCCGGCCCGACTCGGCCGCAGCCGCAGCAGCGAGCGCCACACGCCCAGCTCCCGCAGGGAGCCCGCGGGCTCGGCGGCTAAGGCGGGTCCCGGCCCCCGGCCCCCGCGGGCCCGCGCCAGCCACAAGCCCCGGGCATACTGGAGCAGCCAGCCAAACACCGTGAGCAGCGAGGCGGCGAAGAGGACCAGCAGGGCCGCCCAGCCCACGTCCTGCTGTCCCCAGCCCGGATCCATGCTCCGCGCGGGCTCCGGTCCGGGCTCAGCCGCTGCCCCGGGGGAGCATGGCCCGGGCGGGCCGCGGGGCGGGGGCGGGCTCCCCCGGGGCTGGGCGCGCGGGCTCGGGGGCTCCGCGGGGCTGAGTGTCCGGAACTAACGGGTGCCACAGATGGAGGACAGGAGTCCTGGGGGGTCGCGACGCCGGGGTCCCTCTCCGCGCGGTCCCGCCTCGGTCGGTCCGGCAGGCGGACCCGGGCTAGTCTCCGGCCAGCGCCCGACTCCTCCCACGGCGCCGGCCCTGCCGGACCCGGGCGGGGACTCGTCTGCAGAGACGTGGGGGCTCGCGGACCGGCACCGGCTCCGGAAGGGCTGCGTGCGCAAAGCTGACACTGACAACACGGCCGGCGCCCCGCCCCCACCCGCCCTTAAAGGAGCCGCACCCGCGCTGGGCGGGGCTTGGCGAGCTCCGGGCTCCGGCGCTCCGGCGCTCCGGCGCTCCGGGGAGGGCGGGAGGACGACCCAGACGGGAGGAGGTTCCGGGGTTGAAAAGAGGCGGGATCTTTGACCACACCGCCCCGTACCGAAATCGGGGTACACCCCTTCCCCAGAGCTCACCGCTAGAGTAGCTTCACTCACTTGAGATACGGCCTCTGATTTCCCTTGCGCAGCTTAGATTTCTATAGTTCGGACGCGTGTGGGGTTAAGAAGGACGTCGCCCCCTTCTCTCAACACCCCTGGGTTCAACAGCTTCCTTGGTTCCCATTTCTTGGCCTAAGCTAGACCTTGGTTAAGTCGGTGCAGAGCATCCCTCCTAGATAGAGGTCCCTGGCAGAGGTCCAAGGAGATGCCGACCAGAAAGAACCTGAACCTGGTAGAGCCTCAGAATAGAACGTGGAACATTAAGCCCCCTCCACTGCCACCACCTCCCCTCCATTAGAAGCTAGGATTCAGGAACACCCTATTAACCTCCTTGCTAGTGTGGGTTTGTTCTGGAGAGATTTCCCAAGCCTGGGGATGCTTCTGTTTTTAAAAATAATGTATTTCCATAGTAACAGCTCCTGCCTATGGAGCACGTGTAGAAGAGGTGGTAATGAGAAGGGAGCTGGCAGTGTAGCAGTGGACTATCAATACATTTGGCCAAAATATGTGACGCCATCCAAATATGTGATATCCCAGCAAGAACAGACAAAATGATGCTATAGGTACACTCTGGTCTCAGGATCCATCCCCTTTCCTAGATTTAAGGGAGTAGATTCCATCCCTATAGGACAGGGGCTTGTCATTTCCTTCTGAAAGGAGGGGAAGGAAATGCTTGCAACAAGATTCAAAGGAACCCCCATTCTCCAAGAGGCCCATCTTCTCCAGCTAAGTGCAAAGTGTTCAGCACACAGAGAGGTAACGGGGAAGGTATTAAGCTCTCTCCCCAATCCAGTCAGTGGTCCAAGGAATGAGTACCTGGAAATAAACAATGCCTCCTAAAGTGTGAGGTTGCAGATCTAGGCAGAATCTGGCAGGTCAGCCACAAGGCTCCTGAGCCAGAGGAGGTGGTGGGATAGACTGGGATGCTAGGAATTCACTCTAAGGAATGATGGGGAGATGGTTGGTGATGGACCAGCCTTACTATGGCCCTGCCCTGCTATGGTCACTGGATGCCAAAAATAACGGAAGATTCCTAGCACAGGTTTTTTTCAAAGTTTATTATTGTTATTCTTAAGTAATTTCTACACTCAATGTGGGGCTCAAACTCATGACCCTAAGATCAAGAGTCACACCCTCAAAAAAAAAAAAAAAAGTCACATCCTCTTCTGGCTGGGCCAGCCAGCTACCCCTAGAATGAGGGTTTCTAATCATAAGGGGAGGAAAAGACATGCAATGAAGGGAGGAAAGAACTCAGGGCCAGACCCAGGAGGAAGCTGTCACTGGGCTAAGCAGCTAGAACTAGGGAAGCAGGTTATATAAGAAGTAACTTAGATGCAAAGTTTTACTATGCAGACCCTCTTCCCCAAGAACTCTTCTTCAGGAACCCCTCCAACCTCCCAGGGATCTCAGTTCTCTGAGTTCATGGATTTACTTCCTCAACTCCTCTGCTGAGCACTTGATCCTGTCCTGCCAGACATTGCTTCACAATTTCGTTTCACGAGTCTCCCTAGTTAGTTCCACTATTCTTCCTTCCACTTGTTACTTAGATCTCTAGCAGTTACTTCATTCTCTCCCATACTTTAATTGGTTGTTCATGTTTGCTTTTCCCACTCATTAAGAAGCTGCTTAGGAGTGGGGACTCTATTGGGATGCCTGGGTGGCTCACTCAGCTAAATGTTTGACTTCTGCTCAGGTCATGATCTTAGGATCTTGGGAGCCTTATGTCAGGCTCCCCACTCAGCAGGGTGTCTGCTTGTCTCTCTTCCTCTCCCCCTCCCCCTCCCACTGCTTATGCTCTATCTCTCAAAAAAAAAAAAAAAAATCTTAAGAAAAAAGAATGTGGACCCTGTCGAGGTGTCTGGGTGGCTCAGCCTGAGTCTTGGGTTTGACTCAGGTTATGATCTCAGGGTTGTAGGGTTGAGCCTCATGTCAGGCTCTGTGCTCAGGGTGGAGTCAGCTTGGGATTCTCTTCCTCTCCTCCCCTAAAATAAGATGAATAAATAAAATCTTAAAAAAAAAAAAAAAGAGTGAGGACCCTGCCTTTCAAAGATGAAAGATTCATCTCTCTTCTCTTATATTTAACCAAGGTGCTTTAATATGCTAAAGCAGATTCTTTGTGTGTGGGGGGAGTACATTTATATCACTTTGTATCCCCCAGTACTTAAAGAGTTTCACACAAATATAGTAGGGATTAGTAAATTCTTTGTAATTTTAAGAAGTCTAACAAAATATTCCATTATACATGCCAACACGAAGAGTTTCTATATTGCTTGCATCTTGAAAACTCATGCCATCTCAATGGAATGGGGCTTGCTTTCAGCTAACAACTTTTGATACACTGATAGGGGAGAGGCAGGAAAAAAGGAAAAAGTAACTCAACTGCCTGGAAAGAGCCACAGATAGGGTCTTGCAAGTGTTGTTGCCCCAGACTATCCAAAGCTGTCTCATGGACTTCTTAGGCACTGTAAAACATTTTTAGGATGGGCTTTGACAGGCAATGCAACTGAACAATAGATTGGCCTTGCTCACAGGGCCTCCTTGTAGGAGACACACACCTCAGATGTTGTCTACTCAACCCAAGAAACCATCAGAAGCCACTGACAACTCATCTGATCCATGAGTTCTAGGACCAGCGTTAGCATTTAGGCAAATGCTTCCAACTTTTACCAGGAAAGGCACAAAATTTCAAGTGTGGTCAAGTCCTGTGTTTGTTTCTCCTAATTAGTCTGATAATCAACTGGGCATTTATCATCACGGGAACAAAAATATTGAGATTATAATGCAAGTTCCCCAATAACCATGTTCTGATGATAACATGGATATTGGATGAGGAATCCCTAGTGTGTTGTCTTTGAACAAGTCCCCTCCGAACCCTGTTCCAGTGTGGGTTGTCGGGGGGTGGCTAATGATCTCTGGAGAAGAGTCAGAGGTTCCCAATGCTGGGTCAGGAAGGAAGATTTCTTAGGATTGAACAGCTAATAAAAAAGGAAACAGATACACTGTCCCTCGAACCTCCAGGGAGTCTCAGCCTGCTCCTGATCAACAAGATTACTGAATGCTGCCTCCTCTGAGGCTCCCATAAGCTCCTTCTTTCCACCTGCTCCTAGAGTCTCACTTCCCCTACTTGGGAGGCCCTTCCACTCTTGCCACCTCCTGAAACCTTTGGAGATAATTACTCACCTCCCCTGGTCACAACTAATTTCTCTCTCCATGTGCTCCTATGGCCATTTATCTCTCTTTAAGACCCAGACTCATAGTGTGGGATGGTGCCTTGTAGACAGATAGCTCTGTGTCCTTAGCCCCACGGGGTTACCTGTGTGGAATGGAAATCACTTGCCTCTAGGGAGTTTCCCGTCTAAGAGGCACAGATGCACGTGCGCATGCGCACACACGTGTCCGCGAACACGGGTAAACAATACCGGTGCAATTATAGTTACTGAAAATCTGGTGGACCACTATCAAGCATGTTACTGGGGTTACTTTATAAAGTATACTTCATACATATATGGTTCTTGTTGCTAATTAGAGCTGCCTTCAAGTAGAAGGGATATTTCACACCTGGTTTGAGAGACAGGAGAGAAGCTGAACTGTGATTTGCAAGGACACAGGTGCCACAAGCCAAAAGCACGGTGACCGAGATGAGGAACCCGGAGTGGGGGGAGCTCCTCAGGGCAACAGGAAGAAGCCACGTGTGGGGCGGAGGAGCCTGCTTTCCTCAGCTGTTTCCAACGCGCCACAGCCTCGCCTCCTGGGTTTGGGAGCTTGGCACCTTGCACTGATCCAGGACCTAGGAAAGTCGAGAACGCGGTTAAACCCAAGACCTGAGGGCACTGCCAGCCCCTGCGGTGGGGAAGCGCCCCGCGGGGTTGCCCGGCAACTGCTGCCACTGCGGGGGCGGAAGGCGGTGGGATGATGGAGGCAAAGTACCTGAATCAAGGACAAGAAAAACATGGAGTGGGAGGAGTGGGAGGGACTTTTCAAGTGCCTAGGCTCCAGGATTCACATCGGCTTCCGAGCCGTAGCTGCGTTCCCGGGAACCAGGCTGCGTCTACCTCGGCTTCCGACTACGTTGGCGACAGGTTTTCTCCCGGGGAGCGGGAGCTGCTCCTTATCCTCGTCCCTCCTGCCGTACCCCCGGCCTCCCGGAGCCATCCTCCCGGCTCCCGAGGGACCCCGGGGGAAACGCGGGATCCTGGCCCTTTAAACGGGACCTCCCGCGGCCGGCGTCCTAAAACTGACGTGGAACCAGGAGTAAGCGGCGTCAGACACGTGGGAAAAGGAGGTGTTCATCTTGGAACCGGGCAGGGAGTTTTTTCCGCTTTGGGCTATACACTTTTAACACGGTGTTAGCAAAGTGTCCGTTTTGGTTGGTCTGTCTTTGTTTTCCCAACACCCTCGTGGTGAGGACGCTCGAGTGAAGGACGCGGTTTAAAGTAACACTTACGTCCCTCGCTCTGCCTGCCCGCGCTAAAAATGGCCGCCGCCGGCTTCAAAACGCCGGTGGCTCTGCGAACAAAATCCGGGAGGAAACAGTGGGGAGGCAAGTGCGGCGGGGACAGCCGAGGGTGCGCGCTAGAGGCTCGCGGGAGTCCTGGGGGCGCCTCAATTCAGAGTTGGGTTTTGCTCAGGCCGCTGTGGGAGGGCCCAGCCTGTGCCGAGCGGCTGCTCCTCCCCGCGGGCGGCTCGGGGCTTCCGCCCAGCTCGCCCTTTAGCCGAGGCGGCGGCAGAGCGGGGCCCCTGGCTGGTCATCATGTGGGCCTTCCCGGAGTTGCCGATGCCGCTGCTGGTGAATTTGGTCGGCTCGCTGCTGGGATTTGTGGCCACGGTCACCCTCATCCCCGCCTTCCGTGGCCACTTCATCGCCGCGCACCTTTGTGGCCAGGACCTCAACAAAACCGGCCGGCAGCAGATGTGAGCGGTGGCACCCGGGTCCCGGGGAGGGGGCCAGCAGGGCAAGGGCGGGACCTGGGGTGCCTGACCCCGCGGACACGCAGCGCTAACCCCGCAGACAGCTGCGGGCTCTGGGAGACGAAGGGCAGCGCTGGCCAACTCTGGGAAGGGATGTTGCAGTACAGGGGACCCTCGGGTGTATCAGGGACTCCAGCGCTGGTGCCCTTCCACACCCCTTCCCCGTAGATTGCCGTAATGCTTGCTCTAGTGAGTGACCACGCCCCCTCTCCTCTCCCCCGCCCCCTCCCTTTGCTGCTGGGCCACAGCCCAGAGTCCCAGGGAGTGATCAGCGGTGCTGTTTTCCTTATCATCCTCTTCTGCTTCATCCCTTTCCCCTTCCTGAACTGTTTTATGGAGGAGCAGTGTAAAGCCTTCCCCCATCACGAAGTAAGTGGGTGAGTTGGGGGCGGTTGCTTGGGGCTGGGCCCTGGGAGCTACCTGGGAGAGTTGTGGTTATTAGGGTTTGGGTGGAGGGGCTGAGGAAGGAGCGAAGAGACAGGTGTTTTTGCAAGATGATGTGGGCATAGGCTTGAGCGGTGACCTGCCCGAGCCTCCCCCAGTTCGTGGCCCTGATAGGTGCGCTCCTTGCCATCTGCTGCATGATTTTCCTGGGCTTTGCGGACGATGTACTGAATCTGCGCTGGCGCCACAAGCTGCTGCTGCCTACAGCTGCCTCCCTACCTCTTCTTATGGTCTATTTCACCAACTTTGGCAACACGACCATTGTGGTGCCCAAGCCTTTCCGGCCGATTCTTGGCCTGCATCTGGACTTGGGTGAGTAGCCCTGCGACTGACGTCCCTGTGGCCCTTACTTTGGGGCACCCTTACCCTGGGAGATAATCTAGCAGAGCATCATTCCTGGTGCTCCAGATTATCTTCCAAGTGTCCCCATCTTGTTCCTGTGTCTTCTCAGATCCGTTCTATTGGTCCTTCGTCCAATCCTCTGTCCTCACCACTTTTCTCAGAAGAATATTCTTAAGTCCTCATTTCTATGGATGGCACACTTCTTACTCTCTTCTTCCCCCAGGGATCCTGTATTATGTTTACATGGGGCTGCTGGCAGTGTTCTGTACCAACGCTATCAATATCCTAGCAGGAATTAATGGCCTAGAGGCAGGCCAGTCGCTAGTTATTTCTGCTTCCATCATCGTCTTCAATCTGGTGGAGCTGGAAGGTAGGTGAGATTGGGAGTCTGAGTATTAAGGAAACTGCCTGATACCTGGCTTTGGGGAATTCAGGAAAAAATAAAAGCAATATATTAAGATTAAATGTAAAGAAAAACAGCTCTGTCATTGACAGCTGAATTGGCACTAATAGGTAGGCCATGGTCTTCTGCTGAACATAAACAATTTCACAGAACTTCACAATCAGACGAGGTCACTCTATGTCCATGATAGAGTAAAGCAAACCCAGATTCCTCCATAAACATGTCTGAGTATAGCCAGAACTGCATTTTGTGCATCCCACAAAAATGATTAGGATCTCCCTCTTCTGGCTAAGGTGAGCAATTGCTTCCTTCTGATAACTTGGTTCTACTTAGAGAAAACTAAGATGCTCATAGAATTACTTCCACTGACAGCACCCAGTCTTGGGCAAAACTTTGCCTCCTTCCTTTCTCCCCCAAATTACTCAAAACAAATCCTATAACACATCTTCCTAATACTTCCCTACTGAGGCATCCCATGGTTACCTATGGTGCGTGGTCTACAGTGTCTCTCTTGTTACACATCAGTAAACCCAGCTTTGACTGCAGGTGTGTTTCTGGTGGTCTTTGGCTAATGGATATCAGTGCTTATTAAAACAAAATACTCTTAAAGCATTTAAACTTTGTAACGTGGCAAGTGTTCTCATGAACCATATTTTACAGTTGAGGAAACAGAGGGCGAGAGAATTTAAGTGTGTCATGATCAAGGTCACACAGTTAGAAAGTAAAGCTAGTATTCATACCTGGGCTGAATGATCTAAACCAAATTGAAGACAGCAACTCGTATTAGGAAGGGTTCATGAATGAGGTGGAATATTAGGAATTGCCTGAGTGACACAAAAGAAGTAGTGAGTTCTGGAATGGGACTTGGAAGAGGTGGAAAGTACAGCTGGGGACAGAACTTGAGACAGAAATAGGACCCAGTTATGCAGGGGGAAGTACCTTATCAACTCATCCTTCTTTTCTTCTTCCCCTGCTTCCAAAGGTGATTATCGGGATGATCACGTCTTTTCCCTCTACTTTATGATACCCTTTTTTTTCACCACCTTGGGATTGCTCTACCATAACTGGTAAGTGGGCCATGTGAACATGTAGCAAGTATGGTCCTGTTGGTCCTGACCCAACTCCTGTTGGAGAGGCTAAGCCTGCGCACACCTGTATTGAGTGTTTTCTGGATCTCTAGTTGGTAATATTCTTCAATTGCTCTCTACCCAGTTGCAGTTAGAGACAAGTGCTGTGGAGCCCCCAAAAAGAGATGAATTCAGGGCTTTGGGTTCTGGAGGCTTGTCGGAAGAGCTGGAGTTTCCTCCGGGCCAGGACTAGAGTCAGGGCTAGTCCAGGGTTCAGGGCGTGTAATATGAGAGAAAAGACTGATAGTGCCTCCTGCCACTGGCTCAGATCCTCTCCCCCACACAGGTACCCATCACGGGTGTTTGTGGGAGATACCTTCTGTTACTTTGCTGGCATGACCTTTGCCGTGGTGGGCATCTTGGGACACTTCAGCAAGACCATGCTACTCTTCTTCATGCCCCAGGTGTTCAACTTCCTCTACTCACTGCCTCAGCTCCTGCATATCATACCCTGCCCTCGCCACCGCATTCCCAGGTAGCCACTTTGGGACTTAAAAGGGACATCTTAGCTTTTTCACTTGGGATGCGTAAAGCCAGCCTTCTGCATCTGCTTTGTAAGGGGAGTGGGCCCAAAGGAGGGCTCTTTCCGTGCAGTTAGCCCTTATACATGACAGAGCACATTCACCCACATAATCTGATCAGCTCTGATCACACAGTAAGCAGAGCCGGAAACAGATCTTCAGGTTGTCTGATTCTACTTTCGGTACTCTTCCTATTAATTGACCGCAGTGTGGAGAGTTCTTGGAGTAGTGGCCCAGTCACATAAAGCTCTCTTCCCCCTGCAGACTCAATACCAAGACAGGCAAACTGGAGATGAGCTATTCCAAGTTCAAGACCAAGAGCCTCTCTTTCTTGGGCACCTTTATTCTAAAGGTAACAGGGTAACAAGGAGGTAAGGCTCTAGGCCACCATCCAGAATTCAGGGCCTGGGGACCCTCGGCTTGCATCAGATCCAAGGGGAGCCTGGAAGCATGAAGCAGATCCCCCATTGCTGAAGCAGAGTTGAAGTTCTCTCCACCTCTGGCCCCTCTAGGTAGCAGCGAGCCTGCGGCTAGTGACAGTGCACCAGAGTGAGAATGAGGATGGTGCCTTCACAGAGTGTAACAACATGACGCTCCTCAACTTGCTCCTTAAGGTTCTCGGGCCCATGCACGAGAGAAACCTGACTCTGCTCCTGCTGCTGCTCCAGGTGTGGTCAGGGAAGGGCTTTCCTGGCTCTGGTCTCCCTTTCTCCATGGCTCTGACTCTGGTATGTTTCTTTCTCCTCACAGATCCTTGGCAGTGCTGTCACCTTCTCCATCCGGTACCAGCTTGTCCGGCTCTTCTATGACGTCTGAGTCCCCCAATCCTTGCCCTTCACTGCATAGTCTGCAGGGTTCCTGACTCAGGCCTGCCTCTTTCTGGGCCAGGCACGCTTCCGGGCCCAGGCCTCTCTCACCTCTTACTTTTCTCCAGATTTTGTACTTAGCGATTCCGTTCCGCTGTGATCGACATCCTGGGCCTGTCTTGCCCTGTACTGACTGTTGATTGGACTTTGCCTGTGGCTTTCTTCAACTTGCTGCTCTCCCTCTCTATCCCATCCCTGCGGCCTCCTGAAGTGGGATACTGTGCTTTTATGCAGTTATCCACCACTCGGACTCTCAAGGAATATGTTGGGCCTGGGGATAGAACCCTGGCTGGGGAGAGGGACACAGGCTCGAAGATCACTTGATTATTTGACCATAAATTAAGTATTCTGATTAGTAAGAGCAGATTGGGGGGCCAGGTGCTCCCAGTGGTGACAATAAAGTGTTGTCTTTTTCTTGGTGTTCCTGTAAGTATATTTTGGGCATTTTAGGGTAGATTGGGAGGATTGGTGGAGGTACCTCCTCCAAGAGGATGCCTATCCCTCTGCCCATCTTTTTTCTTTCAGCACAGCGGGCTCCTTGTAACAAGAAGTCAACAGAAAGAACAGACCAAATAGAACATGTTGAATAAACCCTGAAATCCTCATACTTAAGGTGGCAGGGAGAGCCCTAAGATTGAACAGAAGTTTTTAGGGGGAGCAGCAGGAGGGGTTCCCATTTCTTCCCTCTCTCATTTCCCTCTGCAGGATGGGAGGAGGGAGAAAGGCGAGAAGAATGACCAGACCAGGAAGGGAAGGGAGTGGTGTCGACCCCGTTCCTTTAAAAATCCCGGGCCCGTACAGGTTTCCCAGAGGCCCTCGAGGTGGCTCAGACTCCACCCTCTTTGCCTTCCGGTTCTGGGCTCCAGCTCTAGCGTTTAAATCTGGCGCCCTTCGCAAGGATTGGCTACATCGGGGAGTGGTTGGCCGGCTGCGTGCTACCGCTCCTCCTCGCCTTTTTCCCCGGGCAAAAGGTTTTCAAATCGGACCAATCGGCGGGCGCGCTGCCTCGGCCGTGGCGCGTCACTGAAGGGTTAACTGCAACCAACCGGAGGCGGGTACCCGAGGAGAGAGCCAATCAGGAGGGCGCGGAGGTGTGCCCTGGGGGCTTATAAGGCCGGCCCCTGGGCGCGCGCGGCAGCAGTTGGACTGCGGCGGGCGGCTGTTCGTTGCTCCCTTCGAGGCGTCCCTCTTCACCGCTCTTCTACCTCGCGCAGCATGTCGGGCCGCGGCAAGACCGGCGGCAAGGCCCGCGCCAAGGCCAAGTCGCGCTCGTCGCGCGCCGGCCTCCAGTTCCCCGTGGGCCGCGTGCACCGGCTGCTGCGGAAGGGCCACTACGCCGAGCGGGTGGGCGCCGGCGCGCCGGTGTACCTGGCGGCCGTGCTCGAGTACCTGACGGCCGAGATCCTGGAGCTGGCGGGCAACGCGGCCCGCGACAACAAGAAGACGCGCATCATCCCCCGCCACCTGCAGCTGGCCATCCGCAACGACGAGGAGCTCAACAAGCTGCTGGGCGGCGTGACGATCGCGCAGGGAGGCGTCCTGCCCAACATCCAGGCCGTGCTGCTGCCCAAGAAGACCAGCGCCACCGTGGGGCCGAAGGCGCCTGCGGGCGGCAAGAAGGCCACGCAGGCCTCTCAGGAGTACTGAGGGGCGCCCGCGCCGCAGCCGGCCCTCCATGCCACCACAAAGGCCCTTTTAAGGGCCACCACCGCCCTCACGGAAAGAGCTGAGCCACGTCGGGCTCGGGGCGGGCGGCCGCGGCGCTCGGCTCCCCCCGCCGCGTCGTCACCGCCGCCGCCGCCGCCGCCCGGCCCGCCCCTCCCCCGCGCGGGCTCGCCTGCCCTCGCTCCCGCCGCCGCCCGGCCGGAGGGCCGCCCGCTCGCCCGGCGCAGGGGCCCGGAGGGGGCCGGGGGCGCGCCGCTGCCCGCCGCGGCGCCAGTGACTCAGCCGCCCGGGCCGCGCTGAGGGCCGCGGGGAGGCCGCGGCGCCGCCTGGAAGAGCCGCTCGGCGCGCTGACGCAGGGCTGAGGTACGCGCCGGGGCCGGGCCGGGCCGGGACTCTCCGGACGCCGCGGTGCGGGGACGACCTGTCACTGTCCGCCCTGCCACCAGGGGGGAGGGGCGGGGGCCGGCGGTGCGCCCCGCGGGCCCCGGGACTGCAGGAGGCGCGCGCCCGCGGGGACCGCAGCCCGGCCCGCGAACCCCGCCGCTCGGCCCGCTCTCTCTCCGGCGACCGCTCCGCGGGCCACGCACTTCCGTACCAGCACCGGCCCGACCGTCCCCATCTGCACTGAGCCTCCGACAGCTTCGGAACTGGAATTTTGCAGCTATCCCCATCCAAGACTAGGACCCTACAGATTGAGGAGTTTCAGATGGACTAATTTTGTTTATTAAAGGATTGTTTTTTTTAAAAACGCGGTGTCTGTTGTCATTCTGTACGAGCTGTAACACCCACGACTCCGTAGGCGGGAGGTGTACTGAGGGAGTGGGGGTCAGGGGGACTCGGACGATGGCCCGCCTGTGGGGCATACACACGGGCTAGCTGGGTAGGGACAAGTCCTAGGCTTCTCCCCCACTTAACTGGGAGCCCATTTGTTGTTGGAAATGAGAACTGCTGTGGCAGGAACAAAGAATGTTCCAGGAGAACTTTGCACAGAGGTCCCAGCCTCAGAAGTAGAGAGCACAAGGTTTTGTGTCCTCTTTCCTGCAACCCCACCAAAAACAAAGTCACCTTCAGAGCTGGTTTATTAGTTGAGTTGGTTACATTCAAAGGCTGTGGCTTGAACTTTAAAGAGATGAAACCTCCGCCTACTGCGGCGGCAAGGCACTCTTCACAGCCTCAAGGTGAGGCAAGTCTCCGACCTTGCAGTTCAACTCCCTGGGGTGATCACCCCTCAGTCAGCAGTGAAGATGGGGCACTGAGGGCTGGGAGGTAGGCACTGGACAATAGCCACCCAGACACCCGTGCCCCACAGACCAGTTAGTGGGCATCATTAAGCTGCCGTGCAACATCCAGTATGTTCTTGGCTCCTTTGTTCAGCAGCAAACTGGCCAGGCTGATGCCCAGGTTCTCAGCAGCCAGCTGGGCTTCTCGTGGAATGTTCCGGGCAGTGATCCCCACCAGCTGCGGATCATCCTCGGGGCCATCTTCATGCTAGGTAAGGGAAGGAGGTGGGACTGGGTGAGCACCAAAGAGGAGGTAACATGCGGGTTTGTTCCTCATTCCCTCACCCTCCAGCTTTGGCACCTGGGCTGTGATGTGGATGGTGGCCTGCATGGTCTCTTGCATGCTATCTGAGCCGTCTAGACTCCAGACTCCTCCAGTCAGGTACAACTGGCAAAGAAGACAGTTACCTTGGCATATTCTGAAAGAGCTGCTTAGATGAAAACCCAGGCTCTTGTGGGCAAGGCGAGATGCACAGGGACACCTGTCACCGTGCTCCCTTGCCTACCCTCCCACCCATCTTCCCCTGCTTACTTGCCCATCCTTCATAGCTGTATGCACTGCCACTGGCACACTGCAGCCTCCCTCCTGCAATGAGAAGTTCTCCCTGTGACCCACAGACTCTTAACACCCTCTGTCCCTCAGACATAGGGACCTCTGAAGATACAACACACAGAGGCAGGGGCCCAGACCTGAGTGGGTCCTGTCCATACACTCAAGAATGAGTTACCACTGAATAAAGAGCATTAATATGAGAAATCTCCCCCTGGACTATTCCCAACTCAAGTCCCCACCCCTCCACAGGTGAAACATGGCCGGTACCAGGTGCCTAAGGAAGGCTCGCTCAGCAATGCAGCGAAGCAGAGTCTCCGGATCATGCAACACGCCCACCAGGTCCAGCATGTCCTGGTCCTTGGCTCGGACTTCCACGCCCAGGGCCCCCTGATGGAAAAACAGACTAAGACATCAGGCCTAATCTTTCCCCAACCAATGGAGGTGAGAATGGGAACCAGCCCACTTCCACGGGCTCCCCAGGGTCCCTTTTAGCCCAGAAGCCCCCCAAGGCCTGCCCCTCCCTGGAAATGTTTATGCCAGGAGGAACCTTTGCAGCTCAGGTCATGAATATGTAGTCCTGGGATCTGGCCCTGAATCGGGCTCCCTGCTCAGCAGGGCACCTGCTCATCCCTCTCTTTCTACTCCTCCCCCCTGCTCATGTGCTCTCTCCTTCTCTCTCTCAAATAAATAAAATCTTAAAAAGAGAGAAAGAATATTTATGCTGGGAGAAGCAGATGCAAAAGGTTATGGGACCAGCTTTTTGGCTGAATAAAAGAAAGGGCACATCAACACATGGCTTCCCTGGTCCAACATACCTGACCCACAGCATACATGCATTCCTCTGGGTGCAGGATCTGCAGGGGAACAGAACAGGCAGTCAGAAGGGAGGAGATGGCGGTGCCTAAAAGCAGACAGTAGAGTAGTGAGGGGGGCTTCCCTTTCATAGAGAGCCTGGGTAGGCAAAACTGGGAGCCTGGCCTTTGATCCCCAATCTTCCCAGCCTGGAATCCATTTCCAGCTTTTACGGTTAGAGGCAGGGTGTTGAGAGGAAGAATATAGCCAGGGAAAGCAGGAGGATTACGGGGGACGGGACAGGGACAGCTCCTACCTGCCCCACTCGGTGCTGCCAGCCCATGCGCTGCAGACCAGCCGCAGCCAGGATGATGGCACTGAACTCCTGCAGCTCATCCAGCTTCCGGAGCCGGGTGTTGAGATTTCCCCGCTGCAGAGAGATGCTAAGGACCCCAAGCACTGGGCACTCTGGTGCCTCGCTCCCCCTGCCTGAGTCTTTCTGTATCTAACGTCTCCCCTTTGGTCGTCCACTTAACCGTAACAGCTAACATTTACTTAATTACTAACACCAGACACAGATCAAAAGTGCTTTATGTACTCCTGCTTAATTTTCATAACCCAGTGAGGTAGGTATTATAATTATTTCCATTTTACAGATGAGGAAAATGATGGAGAGGTTAACCAACTTGCCCAAGATTACAAGACCTCTGAGAAGCATTCTCTGACCCGCAAGTCTGTGCTTAGAGATGTTCCAGCTAGAAGTGTCCAGAGAATTGCCTACTTTGCGCATGGGAGAGCTTAACACTGTACTGTTTTGAAAATTAGTTTCATAAAACATTCACTACATTTAGAATATCAAAGTACAGTAGGATATGAAATAAAAGATGGAAACACTCTCCACCTTCCCCTTCCCAAGGAATCACTGGTCAGTATCACTCTGTATTATCAATGGCCATTTGTCTCCAGAACTGAAATGTAAAGCCCTATAATCAAGGACAACGTTGGTTTCACTCACCATTATCCCTAGTGCCAGGCACTGGCCTGGGGCTAAGAAAATATGAAAGGATTATGGATGGATGGGTGAGTGGATGGATGAATAGGGCGGGCAGTGGAGGACAGACATTCCATTGGCCCCTGTCCACTTCCTCTGGAAGCTCCTTTCACTCTCATGACTCCCAGGGCCCTCTTACCCTGCCTTCCTCTTTGGCAATCCCCCCCTCCCACCTCGAAAAGGATACAATGCTCCTGAACTCTAGGTGTGGGAACTTTCTCTGCAGCTGGGCTGCTCTCCGCAGGGAGCTGGTTCCCACCACGCTGCTCAGAGAGAGGGTTTAAAATGAGATTTAACCTGAGATATCCCCCTCCTCCTCTTCCTCCCAGCCCTCCACTTTCTGTGCAAGTCCCACCACTCACCTCTTCTCTGGCAAGGTTTCTAGAGTTTTCCCAACAAATTTTGGGTGAAAGACAACAGCATCATAGGGGTTCTCCCGCCTGGAGACAGAAAGTCACAGAATGAGGACGAAATCTCAGTGCTGGTCACTTCCAGGCTCTCTCAGTAACCAACTAACTGGCATGTTCTCAGTTTTCTGCCATGCCCAACACTCCTCAGAGCTAGGAGACAGCCCTTGAGGCAGAGGGCAGAGGCCCAAAGGGAAAAGCAAAGGCTAACGTGATGCCTCCCCCTGCCCAGGCCCCGACCCGCCCAGTTCTTACTTGCAGATGGCTCCAATGGTGAAGCCAGGAGGAAGCACCGTGGGCAGGTCCTTCAGAGAGTGAACAACCAGGTCGACTCTAGAGAGACAGGAGAGGGAGGCAAGGAGAAGAGACCCGGCAGCAGGCCCCCAGCCCTCCTCCACTCCAGTGTGTGCTTGGAGCAGATCAGGAAGCAGGCCTGTCCCAGACCTCAGGACCCTGAGCCAGGGCCCCGCCCCACCACACCCTCTCCTCTGTCCCCCTCCCAGAGCCAATCCTGCATTCCGGGCAGCCAGATGGCTCAGAACCAGGACACCCTCCTTTTCTGAGGCCTCAGAAACCCACACATAAGCCTCCCTCTAGCCTACCCAAAGGCTGAAGTCCCACAGTCTAGCTGATGTCGGGTCTGGTATGCACAGGAGTCCTAGCACGAGACTGAGCAAGAATTGTCCTTCACTTACTCGTTCTTCTCCAGCGCGTGTTCCAGCTCCTTGGTAAACAGGCTCTTTTCTCCAATCTGCCAGTCAAAAAAGAGGCTCAGAGTGAATCTCTTGGGGAAAGGAAAGAGGAGGGAAGAGAAAGGAGTGGGGGGAACATGTTACCTTAGAGAGTGCAGTGTCAAGAATCTTGTCCCCCGTGGTCGACATAGCAACTGAGGAGAGAACCAATCACGTGCTCACTGATGCCCATTTCCTGAGCTCCTACTGAGCTCGTACTGTGTTAAGAGTCGTAGTGGATACAGAGGCACATACACCGCAATCCCTGCCCTCTGAGAATGTCACGATCTAGCAGGAAGACTAGATACACTGATAAAAAGACCCAAAGCAGAAGATAGTAAATGCCAGGCTAGCCCAGGGAGTCAGAGCTGGAAATATTCAGAGGAAATGGCCCTCCAACCTGGGGACAGCCAAGAATTCTCGGAGGCAATGGGACAAAGCTTTGGGCCTAGGGAAAGCCAGAAATGCTGTGTTTGCCCCTCCGGGGCAGGGGAGGGGCGGAGGCCTTCCCATTAGCTTCCACTCCTGTCCAGAAAACTCACCAATTTCAAACTGTAGGCCTGGGTACAAGGCTTTCAGCATTGCCACCACATTGTCTGTCTGTATGCGAGCCAGCTGGGGGCAAAAATCCCAATTAGTTTTGTCCTTCCGTGGCACTGTCCTAAGCTCATACCCTCTAGGATTAGGGATATACAGAAGGAACTGGAATTAAGAGGGGGGTGGTTTGAATACCCACCTAGGAAGGAGAGGGGTGTGGTCTGGGAGCCCTCTGTACCCCAACAACTTGCCCAGCCTCTCTCTCCACAGAACGCAATATACCATCCTTCATGGGATTAACACTCAGCCACCCCATTTTCTCCTCCTGAGATCCTGGGAACTAACTCTCTGGGCTCCTCAACCTGTAATACTGTGAGCACAGAACCCTTCCGCCAAA